AAACCCCTAAAGCCTAAACCCTAAACCCCTAAACCCAAAAACCCCTAAACCCCAAAAAACCCTAAACCCCTAAACCCTAAGCCCTAAACCCTAAAGCCCTAAACCCAGAAACCCCTAGACCCAACAAACCCTAAACCCCTAAACTCAAAAAACCCTAAACCCCTAAACCCTAAGCCCTAAACCCTAAACCCAAAGCCCTAAGATTATCCCTAAACCCTAAACCCTAAACGCCAAAAAACTCAAAAAACCCTAAACCCTAAGCTCTAAAATTATCCCTAAACCACTACACCCTAAACCCTTAAACCTCAAAATTATAAACCCCCTAAACCCAAAAAACCCTACACCCTAAACCCCTAAAGCCTAAACCCCAAAACCCCTAAACCCAAAAAACCCTAAACCCCTAAAGCCTAAACCCTAAACCCTAGCCCTAAACCCAACAAATCCAAACAATCCTAAACCGCTAAACCCCTAAACCCAAAAAACCCTAAACCCCTAGATCCTAAACCCTAAACCCCCAAAAACCCAAAGAACCCTAAACCCTAAGCTCTAAATTCTGCCTAAACCACTACACCCTACACCCTAAACCCCTAAAATCATCCCTAAACCCCTAAACCCAAAAAAACNNAAAACTCTAAACCCGAAGCCCTAAAATTTATAGAGCCATGGTGCTGGCGCCCTGGGCATCGGCATCCTCCGACTCGGCGTCCTCCGACTCGGAATCTGACATCTCCTGGGGTTCTTAAAGGGTTTAGGGGGTTAGGGGTTTAGGCGTTTAGGGTTTCGGGGTTTACAGGTTTAAATATAGGGTTTAGGGTTTAGGGGTTTAGGGGTTTAGGGGTTTGGGTTTAGGGTTTGGGGGTTTAGGGTTTGGGGGTTTACAGGCTTTGGGTTTAGGGTTTAGGGGTTTAGGGGTTTAGGGTTTTGGGTCTAGAATTTGGGGGTTTACAGGTTTAGGGTTTAGTGGTTTAGTGTTTAGGTGTTTAGGGTTTAGGGTTTAGGGTTTAGGGGTTCTTAAGGCTCATGGGACTTAGTAGCTAAGGCTACTGTAGAGGCCTTAACAATTAGAATAGGGCTTTGGGGCCCGTTTTTTGGCTATATTGTACTATAACTACAATAAGGAATCCAAAAACAGTACTGGTAATCATTCAGGCCCCTGTATTACTTAAAGGGCTCCTTGAAAGGGATCTATAAGGGTTTTATGAAGGGGATCTAGGGCTGCATTCAAGGCTCGCGAGACTTAGGAAGGAACGTTATAATATAAGTAAGGTTGGAATTAGCATAACCCCACTTCGGGTACTTAGAACCCCTATCATAAATGCTGCTTGCTCTGTCCCTTGAGCCCTGAAATAAAATAAGGGTTTAAGCTTCCTGAAGAGGATACTAAGACGCAGGTACTAACAAGGGTACATATAACCCAGCTATAACTTACCATGTCCCTTGCGCCCTCAACCCTAAACCCTAAACCCTTGTAATATAGGGGCCTTTAAAGCAATGAAAGATTTCGTCCATCCACCGTAGGATACAAGGCATAGTCCTTAATTCAAGGGTTTGGGAGTCTCTGGGCGGGTGGCGGGGTCGAAGCTATCATCTTCAACGGCGAAGCTCACATACCGAGAAAAAGGGATTCACAGTATAGGGGCCCAGGGCACCTACTGTTAAGGGTGATTTGGTCCTTAAGTGCTGGGGTTGAGAGTTTAGGGTTCAGGGTTTAGGGCTGCAGGATTTGATATGTTAGCGTTTAGGGCTGGGAGTCGAAACCCAGATACTTTGGAAGTGTGATCCTGCTTCCAAGACTGTAAGATACAGCGACTCCAAAACAAGATATTAAGAATTTGGTAGGAATCCGGTAGGAACATGAGAAACAACCTTCTGAACAAAACATACGGCGTTACGGGAGTCGCTGTGGACGCCACATCCAGCAATGCAAGGCCTCGAATGCAAACGCTAAGCCGTGAACCCGAAACACAATCTCCTAAACCCTAAGCCCCAAACCCTAAACCCTAACCCCCCCAAACCCTAAACCCCTAAACCCTCCCATTCCCTAAGCCCCGAACCCTAAACCCTAAACCCCTACACCTAAACCTCTCCCTAAGCCCTAAACCCTGCACCCTGAACTGCAATAGACCCCTTAAAGGAACCCTTCTTACACAAACCCTAAAGAAACCCTTGTAGACTCTTGAAGGAACCCTATACACTCTTGGAGGAACCCTATACCCTAATATAGAAAACGATAGAAACCCCTAAACCCTAAACCCTAAAACCCAAACCCTAAACCCTAAAGCCCTAAAGCCCTAAGACCCTAAACCCCAAAGCCCTAAAGCCCAAACCCTAAACCCCTAAACCCCGAAACCATAAAACCCTAAACCCTAAACCCCTAAACCATAAACCCCTAAATCATCAAACCCTCAACCCTAAACCCCAAACCCTAAACCCCTAAACCCCCAAGGCATAAACCCCTAAACCCTAAACCCCTAAACCATAAACCCCTAAACCATAAATACCTAAACCCTAAACCCGAAATCCGAAACCCTAAACCCTAAACCCTCAAACCCCTAAACTCCTACACCCTAAACCCCTAAAAAACCCTCCAAGGGGCATCCAGAGCAGACGTCTCCGGCCGAGGATGAGGCCAATCGTCAGCAGGATACAACGGTGGGGTGAGGGTAGGGTTTAGGGCTTAGGGTTTAGGGTTTAGGGTTCAGGCAGGTGGTTCAAGTACAAGGGACCGGGATGCATAATCATACGGCCTGAACCCCAAAGCCTAAACCCTAAACCCTAAACCCGAAACCCTAAACCTGACACCTTCAACCCGGAACCCGAGGCCCCAGAGCCCAAAAACCCCTACCTAACATAGAAGCCCGAACCACTGTTCTTCCTTATGGGGCTCCTTATTGTAAGTATACTATTGTAAAGTAGCCCCAAACCCCCTAAACCCTAAACCCTAAACCCCACACCAAATTAAAAATTATTAAGGCCCGTACTTTAGCTCCATCCGACCTTCTAAGGCCACTGAGTTCGAAGCCAGAGAGCCGGATCACGTCAAGTGACCCTAAGGGTCCAAGTAACGCTTTAGGGTTTAGGGTCTAGGGTTTTAGGGTTTAGGGTTTAGGGTTTAGGGTCAAGGGTTTAGGGTTTTAGGTTTGCGGTTTAGGGTCTACGGTTTAGGGTATACTCTCCCAACTCTAACCCTGGACAGCTACTATCAGCAACCAATAAAGTACCTTAGTATTGGGTCCTTTAGACCCTTTGGGGGATCTCCAATCCCCGAATTCCAAACCTTTTTGGGAGTAGGATTCGAAGTTTAGGGGGTTCAGCGTTCCTGGTTTGGGATTCCAGGTTTAAGGGTTTAGACTTTCGGGTTAGGATTCAAAGTCAAAGTTTAGGGCTTTCAGAGTTTCGGGTTTAGGGTTCCAAGTTTAGAGGTTTAGAGGTTCAGGTTTAGGATTCCAAGTTAGGGGTTTCAGAATTTCGCGTTTAGGCTACAAGTTTTAGGGGTTTCAGAGTTTCGGGTTTAGGATTCAAGATTTTAGGGGTTTCAGAGTTTCGGGTTTAGGACTCAAGCTTTTCGGGTTTTGGATTCAAAGTTTAGGGGTTTCAGAGTTTCGGGCTTATAGGGTTTATAGTTTAGGGTTGAGGGTCTGTTTTTGATAGGCTTATAGGGCTTATGGGCTTTACGGTCTGTGTCTGGGACATTTTCAGGTGGGTAGTTACCGTTATAGGAGCCTTATAGAAGCTCGGTATACCTTTTCGAAGCCTTATAGAAGGTCTATATACCCTAAATCCCTAAACCCCTAAACCCCTAAACCCTAAACCCGAAACCCTAAACCCTAAACCAAACCCCTAAATCCCTAAACCCCTAAACCCTAAACCCGAAACCCTAAACCCTAAACCAAACCCCTAAATCCCTA